ACAAAGAACAAGTGAAAAAAGCTGCAGTACAAGCCTGGAAAAGCAGCACAAAAGAAAAATGCAACAGTTTATTAGACAGGCACTTTTCTGTTGATAGCAATTGAAATCTACATGCAGCACACATCTGAAAGCAAACAAGTCTAACAAGATCTGAACCCACAAGCTTTTAACAGCATCAACACTAAACCTAGAACTCACCACTTCTTGGCTTACTTGTGTGGTGTTTCTTGGCTTTATAGAAGGTAGCGCTCTTGCACCAACCAAAAAACCGCACAACAGGCACTGCTGGGATTCGAACCCAGGGTCTCCTGTTTACTAGACAGGCGCTTTAACCAACTAAGCCACAGCGCCACATGTAAGCCCCACAGTGATAGTCACTCTGGCATGCAGACCTAGATGACAAGGTATCTTGCCAAATATTGACAGCAATTTTTCTGAGGGTACTCAGCATATGTTTCTAATCTTTGGTAATCAGAACGTTAGTGTGGGGTTGGGATGTGTAAGCACAAATTATGACATGAATCCATGTCATGAGTATTTGTAAGAACATAAATTTAGGCAACAGCTTCATTTTGCCAACTGGGGCCAACAAAGCATTCCATCTAAGATGGAAAGTAGAGAATTGCCTAATCCACCAGGATTCCTCACCATGGAATTCTTCTCAGATATCCTGTCTGGTAGAGAAGAATCTAACAAGCAACACTTATGTGAAATGACTCTAGTGGGACTTGAACCCATAACTTTTGAATAACTTCAATATTGAGCCTAGAAGTCCAATGCGCTATCCATTGCAGCGCAGAGCCCCTGCAAGCTTCTGGCATGGTGTTTTATCTCAGGTTCTTCCAAAGTCATGGATGGTCACATCCATGTAAACAGTCAACAGGATTGTCAACAGTCACAGGCCACCACAGCCGACCAGCCCAAACGGCTATGATGCCGTTTGGCCCCTCACATGGGACCTCGTGGCGCAACGGTAGCGCGTCTGACTCCAGATCAGAAGGTTGCGTGTTCAAATCATGTCGGGGTCAAATGCTGGGTCAAATGCTTGCTCTTTCGCATACATGCAGGTGAGGGAGTCTTTTATATGGATTCAAATATCTATGATGACCATCCATGTCTTTGTCGACCTCATGCTAAAAGGTAACATTGCTTAGGTAACAACTCTTTCACCTAATTACCAGTAATACCTTAGCATCCTACTGTAATATGTTTCCAAGGTTTGCCCATTGTGCTTGCTGAAAAATAATTTGCCTGAAAATACTACTTAAGATGTTTTCAGAATACAAGTTTCAGTGGACATGTCAAACAATGTCCTGGATTAAGAATGTTTGAATCGTAGAGTTGTCTGTTTAAGTACCGTGCTTTCATTTTTTCAGACAAGAAGACTTTAGACCATCCCATCACTTGGTAAACTTCACCAGCATAACTCATACTCACAACAGTCACTCTGAACTCTAGATTGGCACAGTTTGGGTATCATTTAGTTCATCCCCTGGATCAGAGAAGGCTAATCCTCATAGAATTGGAAACCGTCAGCAATTTCAATCAAGATTTGGCTTTTCCAGCCAAGAAGTCAAACACAACTCTGTCTCTCTCTCTCTACGCCCATTCCCATGATCCTGTCTCCCTCTGCTCTCCATACCTGCCTGATCCATCCTGATGCCCCACTTCTGCATGGAGGTTTCATCACCTGAAAATCACTCGCTGCTGTCAAGGATGGCCCACATGGACAGCCTAAAGATCACCATGAGATTACTGTGGATGGTACCAGACAGACACCCTAGATGGCTGTGGATGTTCTTCCTTAGCTAGCCTAAAGACTGCAATTGCTAAGAACAGTTTACACTCAAGTCTCCATCGTCGAACAGTTAATAACTTCAGTTTGACATGATAGACCTAAAGTTAAACCTCTAATGGTGCTCATATTCAAGTTAACATGATTAGCGCTATTTGACAGTTATAGAAGTGGAAAAACGTATAATCACACTACTCAGTGTCACACAGAAAAGGATGCGTTCCCTTTTGAGTCTGGTTCCTCTCAAGGTTTCTTCCTCTTGTTGCCTCAGGGAGTTTTTCCTTGCCACCGTCGCCTCTGGCTTGCCCAGTAGGGATAAATTTAAATTTTTTGGATTTCTATAAAGCTGCTTTGTTACAATGTCCAATGTTAAAAGCACTATATTAATAAAATTTAATTGAATTGAAAGTTTACACCTGAGGCTAACTAAACTACATTTTGTTATACTGTACAAATCTGTATGTGTACAGTGGGGTCCAAAAGTCTGAGCCACATTGAAAATCTGGGATTTTTTTAAAGTTTAAAACTGGAAATAAACAGTTTTGAAAATTCTATAACAAAAAAGGAAATGTGCAACATCTTGACTTTTTAATATTCAAAATATTGCACAATTTCTAGGTCACTATTTAAATTTAAGCAAATTTGTGACTTTGACCGTGTTAACGCCTTTGTACTAAAGGTCAAATTTTCTGTGAGCCTTATCCCTTCCCTTGAAGCACTTTTTCAGAAGACATACTGATGGATCTAATCTAAAATGGATCATCAGGTTTTACACTGTCAGGACCACAAACCCCACTTCCCAGAACGCACCACGGCCTACTAATATGGCCGCTCCAGACTACACTTCCCAGAAACCACGGCAGTTTACTCGCTCCCAATCACCAGACGTTTGATCACACACCTGTTTTCAATCATACACCCTCATATATATACACACACTATATAAGGGACTTTCATTCACTACATTCTCCGCAAAGTAAATGCTCAGTTTGTGTCTGTCTGCTGACTTTATCAAGCCTTTTGCCCATGTATGTTGTTCTTTCTTTTTTGATTTTTGGACATTTTGTCTGTCTCTTGATTCATATGTGTTTTGTTTTGCCTAGTAACATAGTTGACAGAACTTTTGTGGACATGAGTAAAATCAAATATTTTCTTCACTTAAAAGTCAAACTCAATTTTAAAAAAATAGTGTAGTATTTGGATTTTAGAAATTAATTAAATATATATAATGTTTAACTTTGTTATTCATTATTTTGAACTCAAGACCCACTCACTTCAAAAAACGGACATCGCAAAAACTGTCAATTGAGGAACATTAAGGCAATTTCAAGCAAACTGAAACATAGGGTACACAATATATTTGTCTGAGATTATAATATACTTTCCCTTAATTGGTAAAATTGGCTATTTCTGAAGTAAAAATATAATTATCATCACTGGACATTAAATTTACCCAAAATTGTAGAATAACTCCAATATCTTCAGTTATATGCTCTGTGTTACCCGGTCTAGTGTATCATTCAATTTGTTACACTTACTGTATATTGTTATGTCTACGTCTTAGGTCTCAGCTTATTTATTGATTTGAATTTTTTCTGAGTTTGTTTAAGTTATTGTGGCTACGGGGAAAAGGAGGCTACGATGTGCACATCGGCAGCTGTGTCTGGTCGCTTCCAGTGTGTAATAGTGGTGTTTCATTCATGAACAAATCTGTGTTTTTGAACAAATCTTAACAATAA